GAGCGTTCCCAAACCGGAGAGCTCTGAATGCCATTGAAACACTCAATGAGCTCAGACCTAATTTCGGACACGCCCTGCACCACGCGTGATTAGAAGTTCCAACGTGTTGGTGCACAAGCTGGGAGACGGCGGCTACATATCTGGCGAAGGAGGTCAGAGCGCTTCGGCGAAACGGAAAAAAATGAAGAAAACCCCGAAACATTTGCAAAAAATATACGGACGAGAGGGGTATCAAGACACATATTTTTAATAACGAGGTTAAATTGGTGTGCATAACAATGTGAAAAATGCGCATGAGGAAAATCTTCTTTTATATAAACTTGAACACCATGTTTCGACCCACTCATGACTGCCGCGCCGTCATAAGTTTGAGCTATCAATTTTGACTTCGCGTTGTAAGGCTGTAACACTTCTTCGAGTACAGCCTATATCCCGCAAGCCGTGCGATCAACGATTGGTGCAAAGCTGTGAAATCTCTCGGTAGGTTTACCATCTTTCACAAACCGAAAAATCACAGCCAGTAGGGAAACGCATGTGATGTCAGTTGTCTCGTCAGACTGAATCGAAAGGAACTGGCAATTCTCAATTTCCAGAGCCAAATGTTGTAAATAAATTTTATACATTGAGTCGAGCAAATCATTTTGGATATCCTTAGATGTCCCTTTCGAAACAGTTGCGGCATCAAGATGATCTCTCAATACTGTATCTAGGGATGCGGTGTATTCCACCATATCCAAAAATACCCCTCTATTAGAAGAGCCAGCCCGTTCATCGTGCCCACGGAGGGACAGCTCGTGACAACCAATGAACTTCAAAACATCTATCAATCGACCGAGAACATGGCGGTTTTTCTCTATGTTTTGGTTGTGCCGACGAATAGAAACCGCGCGTCCTTCATCCAACTGTGCTGCAATATTAACATTTCCGAATGTTCGGTATTTTACTGCATTGCCCAGATGCTCCATAGAAGATTGATGATCCCTGGCACGCTCGGAAAGATGTTTAAGATCTCTAAAACCAAATTTACACCAACGTGAGTCACGGGCGGTAGCAAAAAGTAGGCAATAAAAACAAAAAAGTGCATTTTTGTCCTCGCTGTAACACAACCATTCGTGTTTTTTATACCAAGTTTCTGCGCAGAATGTACGCCGACGCTTTCCTCCGTCATGGGATTGTTCCAGTGAACAATTTTTGGTTGATAAGGCCCAAGACGTTGTACCTCTAATTTTTGTTCCAGTGGCAGCTGCGAAAACGGAGTGCGAAGTAGTGCATCAACCTTATTCATTATGAGGTCTAAGGCTAAGAAATGCGAAGCCGGAAAGAAGTGAGGAGCTCAAAAGGAATGTGGAAAATCGGAAGCAAATGGACTAAAGGTCTCTAACTGATTCAAATAGCGAAACAAGCGACAAAAACGAAGGCGAGGAAACTATCAACTCTTCAAGCAACCAACGAACGAGAAGGAATGCGTGAATATGTCAACACGTTGTTGTAAGAAACGTCGGCAATTTGTCGTCATAATTTCGGGGCTAGCCCCGATCGGCCCCGATGATTTAGTAAAAGAAACAGAAAACAAACGAGACAAACACGGCGAGTGGAAGATAAAAGAGAGAATACGATATACAATGAGCAACCGGGGCAAAATCGGCGTCGCCCCGTCGACGTTCGGCGAAGGCTTTGCGAGCGAAAAATGAACCATGTCGGGAGAATATGGCTAGTGTAGACAGTCTGTGCAACCGATATTGAGGTATTTTTCGAATATTTTTTATTATACCGAAAAAACAAATGTTTAGTCTTAGTGTACATTGTACAGTAATTATTTTATTTACTTGTAAATGTTATGCAACAGCTCTTATAGCAAAAGCGATGCTATAAATAAAAAAAAATTTGCGTCCTCACTAAATTCATTAAAAGACAAGGACAGAAGTGTTCAATTATGGGACTGTCGTTTGAAAAAAGGGACAATGTGATAATTTTTAGAGGTAATATAGATGTTCACTGCATTGACAATTTCTTTTGCGAGTTCAGCATCCCAAAGTTGAAGGTGCAATAGGCGATATTATTATCGTTTAAAATCAAGATGTTGACTTTGTGACTACAATTTTATGTACCAACATATTTTCATTTTGTGGAATGTAGATGTCAGCATTAGCCTACTATTTCGGGATGACGTCAAGCATTGAAATCCTATCCGTTTCAAAAAGACATTAACATTTTTGATTCCATATATATATTTCAACTTATTGCCGCCAAGCAAGATTCCATGCAATAACATTCATTAAAACAAAATATCTAAAAAGCTTATGATTGACGATGAAATAAGATGCTGGCTGCCGTATACTTTGTCCCAGGTTCTCGATCGTTTGATATCACAGAAACTTCACCATTCCCATTGTGAATAAATTTCAGATTAGATTGAATTTGGACGTTGCAATTGTGTTTATGGGTCCTTATGTTCTTGGAGCTATTAAATTAGGAAATTTTTTCGATTTCAACATACAAACTATCATGTGACTTCAGTATATAAACCAATGTTTCCCAAACTTTTTTCTGCCAGCGCCCCCTTGGACGACCTTTTGGCTAACAAACCCTCCCCCCCCCCCCCTGACTGAAAAGTAGAAATAAATTTATTCTCCATTTATCATTAGCCTAATTAGGTGGATGAACTTTGCGAAAGGCCGCCAGCACATCAATAGTCGGCTTCATTTTAGTCAAAATCAATCCTATGTTTCTCAAATATGTCAAATACGGTTCTTATTGCCATCTAGAATCGCGTTATGGCACTCGAGTATGAGCTGTGGGAGAATTTTTTTTTCTTTTTCATTTATCCCTCTTGTGAGGATATTACAATTTGATTAGATTCAGAAGGGATAATATTAAACACTGGACTTTGGTTTCAGTTCAAAATCCCTTTGCAAAGTGATCATAATAAGAATTCCATGTATTGCCGAATGGGTCAATTTCCCACTCCGGAAACTCCGATTAAAATACACCGTAGAAACAAATTTCTATGTCAGTGTGTAATTCTTGAATATACTACCTTACGCGATGAAAACGTAAAACTCGCATTCCAGGGTGAAGGGAGGCACGAAAAACCATTGCTATCCTAACCTATTGACTATCGAGCAACGACACCCGTCTGGCTGTTGTGAGGCAGTTTCCATTGAAGGCCGTCTTAATTCGGTGTGGTGTATTAAGAGCTTGAATGCTTCATCTTTTCTATTGCACAATTGTTTAAGTAAGCGGACCGTTATTTAATTTAGTGCCATTATCAGCTCAAAGGTACAGAAGGCGTTTTATAATCCAAAACAGCAACTAGAACTTACTTTGCTGATGGTGGGTTAATAAATCTGAAAGCACATTGCTATTGGCTTTTTTAATTCGAAAAATGTAACATTTTTGTTTGATTAATCCGGATGATTTTGAAGCCTGCTGGGCGGCCTCATAGCTTCATTGGAAATCGTTTAGATGCATAAAAAAATGCATTGATTACAAATCAGAGTTTTGGACTAAAATAGGTTCATATAATTGACAACTTCTATCATATTGCCTAAAATTTTTGGCTTTGGACAACGAGACATGCCAGACAACATAGAAGGGCTGTGGCGAATGAAGTAGTCCGGCAGATAAGGGGACCTTTTTGGCCCAAGTTTGATTTCAGACATAAAGTTTTTTTTATTTGTGATTATTCATCTTGGGGTCATTTCCCATCATTTCTACATGGGTGTGGAGTTTGCAGCCTTGAGCAATTTTTTTTACGGCTCGATATTTGTATTAGTGTTTTTCGTCAAACCTGTGCATCATAATGACGCACAACCTGAACCATAACCTGTTACAATACTATGTTCAGGTTGTGCGCAATCTTGGTGCACAAACTACACAAGCACCAAATTTACTAGGAAATAAAATCAATAACTTTTAGGTAATTGTTGAGCCCAATTTTGGGTCGCGACCCATTACAGTATATGGAAATACTGTCGAAACATACGCGTAAAATAAAGAGTACTATTTCAAAATACACGTTTTTGTTGCAATTAACATTACAAGCCTGCTAATGCAGTCGCCAGTGGTTCAAGTGGATATACACCTGGTGGAGAACAGTCAATTATTTGTTAGCGAGAATTGTTATGCAGCGGGATAATCACGACGACGCAGTGAAAGATAATGTTATCACGAGAACAAGAATGAGAAAAATTGTTACATTTTATAGTATATCCCTGGGAAAGAATGTAGTTCATTCTTATGTTCCATGCCAATGCTTTTCAAACTACCAAAGACTCTCAACACTTTTGCTTCTTCTCTTCTATAAAAATACAATGTTATTATATATTCGCATTTCCATCTGTTTGTTCGTGCTCCCAGATAACCGATCAGCGGCCTCCAAGGAGGACGTGGTCCCTGTTTAAGAAACCCTGTCATAAACTAAAAGAGGCGACCATGCTTCTCTTGCCTGTTGTCTTGCTGTCCCTGGAATTCAGCTACAACAAAAATTTCTCGAAAACGGATTTTTAAATTTTATGATTTTATTAATATTCTCAACAATGAATGATATACGGGTGGTAAAATGCCAAGTTATTCCAACAATATGATCATGTTTTGCAATTTACAACCAATATTTTGTATGTAACTTTGTTTGACAGAGCCCCAAGAGCTCTAACTACAAATATCAAAAATGTGAGGCCAAAAAAGTCACACTACAACATTGCCAAATGTGCTGTATTTACGATAGAAAACAGGTTTACCAAAAAGAATTACATGAAAAATGGTAAAATAAAGATCAATTCAGCAATATCTACTTGGTGATATGCATCTGTTGATGATTTTATGTGTTTGTTTCGGAAGTTCAATAACAGAATTAATTGTGGTTGTTGGGGATGTTTTAAAAAAAGGTTGCATGGAAAAATGTTTTCACAAAATGTCAAGGTTTGATAGTAGTAGAGAAGTAGAAAAAATACTCCCATATTTTTTTTTCATTTGATAACCACGCCACAGAACTTCCCCGATAAGTATACGCAGCAATTGCGAGAGGCAGATATGCCAAGATGGGATTTCATCGCATTGCAAACCAATATTAGCAATTCTTATATATATTCACGCATTCCCATCTGAACAGCGTGGAAAAGATTATACCCATCTACACACTTTAAGAACTATGTCAGATGAGCGTCATATTATCGAATATCAGCAAAGGAATAGTGCAATGGGAGAAGACATATAAGGCGGAACTTTCAGTAGTATGCAATCAAATAATCTTATTGTAGAATATATATTTGAAAACATTTTGTCACGCCAACTGCAGTCCGAAACTTTTTGTCTCTGACTGAGCTTAGATTGGCACTCATGTAAACTGGTAAGACTGTAAGAGGCACGCGATGGAGCAGATACTCAGAGTATCCATCCCCCAGCTGTCATTTGAGTGGGTACTGCTGTTTTTATTGCAGATGTTACTGATCTTTTTGTATTAAAGATTTACTGGCATCACCGATTTAAGGATGTTGGAAACCAACACGCAATATTACAAAATTTACTTTCAACACGCGGTTTGAATGAATGAAAAAGCTGAAACTAGTATTCTTTAGAACAGCATACAAATTCTGTGGAATGAAACCATACACAAAAGCTCGTCAAAAACCTATAGATCAATAATCAAGTGGAATTTGATGCATGTGCGCAAAAATGCGCGCGGTACTACGTACAACCGAAGCACGCAGGAAAATGTGTGTGATGTACTAGTATTCGAAACGTTTGACTCAACTATGTTGGCATAACAGGTGCACATCTCGGTTTCGCATACGCATACCTTCTATCTCCACAAGGATATATTAATTTTGCCAAAGTCAATGCAGCACTGAAAGGTTGCGGTTCTTCCAAAAGAAAACACGTTACACATCTTTAGATACCACTGGAAGGTTTTACATGGCCTTGTTCGGAGTGAAAGACGAGGTCAAATATTCCAATCCAATTCGACTAATAAAATATTTTCCAAGTCCCTAAGCTTAAACTAGGAAAACGAAATGCGCGCGGCAACGCAAATGTAGTTTGAAGAGCGCAATAAAAAGTGGCTAGATGCTGTCGATGGATCTTGGCTTGTATTAGTGAAATAAACTACCATTTATTCTACTAAAATGAATTTCTGACATTTTAAGGAGATTCAATGTTTCTATGTACGCAAAACTAAACCATGTAGTTATGAAATAATTGTTTTTAACAAAAAGGCGCTCCTGAAGTATTTGTACCAAGATGGCGCACAAACTGAACATTGTATGTTTACTAGGTTAGGGTTCAGGATGTGCGTCATCTTGGACCGAATACTTTAAATCCACTTAAAAAAATTTGCTCAACATTATATACTCCACACCCACCTTGGTATTCTTATATATGTCATATACATTATATCTAAACAATAAAAAAAACTTTATGTCCCAAAACAATGTTAAGGCCCGATTCTGCCATACTAAAGTGTCAATAAACGTAATCCAGACCCGTATTATAACGAAACAATCGATTAACAAAAATCATAATATTTGAGGTTAAACGAGCAATTCCAAACACCGAAATAGATGAGTAAACTAGATCGAACAAAAAGATAAACTGGAATAGATAAAAATGTTAAATACTATTACATTTCATGTAAGTGGCTATAGCTTCATGTAAGCCCGATTTGTTGCCAGCGCCCCCCAATTGCCCAATTCGCAGTCAGCGTCCCCACGGTTATCGCAAACGCCCACTTTGGGAACCGCTGATATAAACTATCATGTGACTTCAGCATAGTTAGTTACAACCACTCATAATTACTACGATCTAACTTCCCAAACACCAGGCCATCGTGAGAGCCAGTGGCTTTTGATCTCGGGGCGCGGTCCGCTGTTGGGCCCGCCGGTAAAATTCTTGAAAAAGTCTTTAAACTTGAAAATCGACTTGATTAAAGAATGAATAACAGTGCGAAATTGGATGTCGACGCCCTTAAGCAATCCGGCACTGACGATTATAAATGAATAAAATAGTGTAACAAATTACGAAACAAAACTGTCCCTTAATATATTTCTGGAATATTTACAAAACAAGTTTAACCGACAACCAAGACGTTTATAGCACAATTTATTAGTGCCTTCATTTTTATCATTTTCATTCTTTGTGACACAACAAGAAGTTTATTTTGATAGTGACGTCACCATGGCATTAAACGTAATAATCGAAGCACTGTAAAATTCTTAATTTGCTCACTGAAAGGAAATTCAGTCACAAGTTTTAGTTGCTGCGATCTTTCATTATGGAGCTCCCGTATCTCTGGAGCGAGAAAATGGATATTCCTCCTGTGTCAGCACGTGCTCAATCTGCAGGTGAGCCATCATTTTCATAGGCTATTTGTTTCAAACAATAGCAGAATATTTTAAACCGAATGTTTTCCAATATATAACGTTAACCCATTACCGGTACCGTCTATGCATCCAAAATTTATAACTTGACGTTACTGGCTATAACCAAACCCGACGTAGACTATAAGTAACAGGATCAGGGACTTTTGGGCCATGTTCACAACCCGCCGTTGCATTCCGTGTGAATCATCGTTAGTTGATTAAATATCAACAAGAAGACGAATTTCGGTGTAAATTAGTCATTACCCTCGGCAGTGTTGGCACTGATCCTTCGCATAATTGCTTATTCCGTTTGGGTTACCTGGTACCCGCCATATTATTTTTGAAGGGTACGGCGTTTAGTGAACTTGCGCCGGGCATTGGTTCAACATGTGATTATCTTATCGACTTCCCTCTCCAACGGTAATACAAAAATCAAATCCTATCGGACTGCAATAGTATTAAAAATTGACAGACTTCACCGAAGTTATATATATATAACCAATAACTTGTGCTAAAATGTGCTGCTGGACAAAGCATGCACAATACGTGGACCGTTCACTATACGTAATTCTGCAAAAGATTGAAAATGGTACACGATGGATTAAGAATAACGTGATTGATTTAAAAACTTGAGAATGCAAAATAGTAACGTTCATTGTTTCGGTCTGAAAGTGTATTGTGGTCGGGTCCGTTGAATCCACCCCACTTGTTGTTCTCTCTTTTTGTGTTGTGAGTTGTGACCTAGTATCCCGACCGGCACTTCATATATAATCATGGAAATTCATTTCTACAATATTCAGGAGATTTTGTGTCAGTATGTAGCCAAATTTTGCTTGTCTATATATATGTATCGCAGAGTGTTTCACGAACATTGTGCACGCGCAAGTGAATTTTTGTATAAATTTGAGTTCTGCAACCCTGTATTAGGTTGGTCAATTCCAGAAAACACAAGTAGTGGTATGAGAACGTTGAAATATATGAATGATGAAGTCAAACCGCTTCGTAATTATATGCGAGAACGAAGATTTCAAGTAATTGCGTTCGCCAGCGGAAAACTAAATCGACCAAATAATTCTCGAAATTAGCTTTTGAAACTACTTCTCCACATGGTATTCTATTTAAGGTTGTCAAGCCGATCGTGGGTCTCATTTGCTCGTTGCGATAACCAAGGCGCTGGTAACACTGAAAACTAAAGATTCCAAGATTTTTTCAAGAGAGTAATTGCTTGTTAAAATCACGATTTGTCATTTATTACAGGCAAAGTCTCGGGATATTGTGTACAAAGCCCCCGCCACTAATGCAAGAATGTGAGATTTGAAAAAAACAACCCCGCGACGTTTTGGAATAACAAATTATTAATTATCCAGTTCGGGTTCGGGTTAGAAATGATTTAAAAATTTGAATTTCCAGTGCAATCTGCATTCCTAGCCTTCAACCTAACCCTAACTGGATAAGTGTGGATAAACTGGATAAAAAAAATTTTGTTTGAGCGTGGGGGGTGTTTTTTGTCGGGCACTTCGGACAGAAGATCCATGTTTCGACGTTGTTGAGGTATCACAAAAAATCTTTGCGGCCTTATATGCGTGTCCAATAGCGTGATGGAAACAGGGTGGTGGCCGCACGTTTTGTAGATTCTCTTTAGTCATGGATGAACAATATAACTTCTTCTGTTATTTCGAAACCCCAACGAGATATTTCACTAGCATATTTTTCTGTTGAAGGATCACCAAGTCCATTCATGAAAAATATCAAAGCTATTGCGGCGGTAACTACACTGATGAGTCTTGGTGTACTTGGAGCAGCAGCAGCTCTGTATTTTTCAGCTTCCTGTTAAAGGTGAGATCGACCTTTTTACATATTTTACTGCATGTACAACGTTTTCATTAATTTGTTTTTTCAATAAGTAGTACTTGCAAATTCAGGTGTAGGCTACTTTAAACCGTCTCACCAATAGCCAATTTGATTACAGATTTCGCTGCTATTGATATATACAATAATTATAAATAGCCTTGCATTAATATAGATTGTGATACTGTCTTCGATCGCGACCAATATAATAATGTTCATAATTGGTTTATTTTAGATAAGTAATGAGTAACGACAAATCCAAAAAATCCAAAAAAGATAAACCCCCAAAGTCGTCGAAAAACGCCGAAAAATACGAAATTAAATCGGAGAAAAAAGAAAAGTCAAAAGAAAAATCTTCGAAAGAAAAATCCACAAAGAAAAAACCTTCGAATAACAAATCCAAACAACGTAAAAACAAAGACGCTGATGATGATGATATTTCCGAAAATTCAGACAAAAACAGCTCCAATGGTAATTTCCTATCGAAAATATGTTATTCATATCTCAGGTCATCACATGTATGCCCCTTTCCCCGACCTTTGACCCCCCAAAAATTCTTTCTATACTTCACCATTGCAAAATTTTCGGGGCTATTTTAGGATTGCTTTTGCGAGTTGACGCCTGTAAAATGGGGTATGTGTTTCAAACCATCATTATGATTCATCGCATACAACAATCTGTTTTTTTAAAAGTACCGGTAAAGAATTTTAGCCTAGTCGATCACAGCTATTTCTACACTGATTTTTTATTACTGCAATTAAATTAAAACTCCTAGGAAGACAGAGTGATCATTGAATTATCCGATTTATATTCAAGTTTCCGAAATACAACTGAAAACTAACGAATAGAGTTCAAAAACGCGAAAACGAGGAGAAAGGTCCATAGCTAGAGAATAGAGGCAGCACTAATTACTTGTGTATTTGTCCCGGGCATTAAAAAAACAAGGTTAATAAAATAGAAACACGGCATAAAAATGATAAAAAAGGAAGGATGTAAATAGACATATATATATATATATATATAAGTTAACGTAATCTGTACGTACTATATTTTTTTCATTTCAGGTTCACCTCTACCAGACATTAAAGTTTTTATTGCAATCGTTGTAGGAATAAACTCCGTTATATTGATAATAGCAGTTTCTCTTTTAGCGATGTGGGCTACGACTTCTTGTGAGCCAGGTAAGATCATCATCATGGTACAAAACTTCAGCACGAGGTGCATACCGCTGTACATACCGTATATGTATAGTTAATTGTGCAGATTCCGTATCATTATCACAGCGTTTCTCTTTCTATCGAGATGGAAAGAGGACGTCGAATACTTGAATAATAAAGTTATACAAATTATTAGGCTAAATGCCTAAGAATCTTATGCTTATATAAGGTTAACCATAACTTTCAGTGGTTTGATGCTTTAATCTTGCTTTCCAAGTAATTTGAATGTTTTTATTCAAATCGGAAAGTTTTTAATTGTGTTTTTTACTATTTATGTTCATTTATCATGTTTCTCGTTATGAACAACAGGAACAACCACTCAAACCGGAGGTATTGACCAACAAAATCTTGGTCCTGGTGGTAGCTCAGGTACGTACTTGGAAATTTCCGATAAGATTGCTCGTATAATCTGCTCTTAACGCGATGTTTCGATATTTAAAATAAAAAATAATGGAATTTATTGTTGGCCGTCGCAGGGATATCGTTATCTTAGCTATATTTGGGACAACCTATGAATTTAAGCAGCAGGAAATGTTATTCACTTACATTGGCCAACATATTAGATCAAATTAAGATTTCAATAATCCAGAAGTATACAGCTAGCACTAGCTATCAAACATTTGAAAAATGTCCTCAAAAATTAAATTGACTTGACGGAGACACCATTGAAAATATAAATAAATTCTTTTTTTTTTCAATTGAGAGTATTGTCAAAAACTCTCCGATACCGAAGCATGCGTATCTTTCTTATTGATTTCAAATATTCTATTTGAAATTGTTCTCAAAACATTTGTAGGATCATTTACTGGTGGTTCGCCGTCTCCTGTAGGTGGTTTTCCATCTCCTGGAGGTGGTTTTCCATCTCCTGGAGGTGGTTTTCCATCTCCCGGAAGTGGTTTTCCATCTCCTGGAGGTGGTTACAGACCTCCCAGTGGCATAGGAGATTCTTCCGGTTCACAAACTCCTGGTGTTGGTGGCACTAATACAGACGGATCTGGTGGTTTGTATATTTTAAATTTATCTCATTTTTCAGTACTTTAAGGTTTAAGCACTCTTGTTTTTCTAGTTGATAAATAATAATCACGTTTTACCTCCTGTTTTTTTTTATCTTGACAAAAAATTTGTGCACGACTTGAAAATTGGTTTCTACTAATCCAGTAAGGCCTCTGGTCAGGAAAACAAGTCGTGGTATATATCGTATTTTCGATGGTTGCATAGATCTATGCGTAGTTGTAAACTGTTATTGTAAATTCAAAAAACTTCACAATCCAAGTGCGTATACGATCAGTATAGTAACTATTTTCACCTTAATCGCCGGTCGGATGAGTTTTTCAAATTAGTTTACATTTGGCAGTAACCGACTTGTGATCACGTTTTTGACAGCTAGAATTCCGTTAATCATTATTGAGTTTGATTATTTGTGCAGCTTCGATTCTCAATAGAGTGAAAATTATGGAAAGGTTAAAAATATTGTGGTTGATTTGTGTGGAAAATAGGAAAATTGATTATAATTTCGAATCTAATAAAAATGTCCGTTTTAGAACCTCATTGGATGTTGCACACCTTCGTTTCGCACAAAAATGTAACGATTTGTCATGCACTTGGCGGTGCCCCGCTGACTTAGCCCTGTAACCCCGATTATCATACGCGCGGTTATGATCTTCCGCCATCAAGTCGAATGCACCTGAAACGAATACCTGGTTAACTATTCTCGTAATCGACGTGGACTCTTAAACGAACGAGGGATTATAATTCGCCATGTGATTGAATCGCCTTATCGGCGATCCTGTCCGCGGCGATAAATAAAAAAAATTCCGGATTCTATCCATATGTACAAATATCTTAAATTTGGAGGTGGTATATTTTTAGTGAACTTTTTTCTGGATAATGTAACAAAAGTATTATCACCAAAATTATTTTTTTTAGGATCGTATCCTGGTTCATCGCCGTCAGGATCATCACAAGAAAGTTTTGGAGGGTCGTCTGGTTCACAAATTCCTGATTCAGGAGGAGAATCACATGTCAGTGGTGGAGAACCATCTTCAAATCTCCCACCACCAACACCTGTCAGTGGTGGGGAATCATCTTCACGGCCCCCACAACCAACACTCCCTCCTCCCACCGGTGAGATGAAATATATCTTCATAAGTTGTGTTATCGTTGGGTCTTGTCGAGGTGACAGTATACGCTTTAATGCAAAAATATCTTCCAGTATTCTGTCGAATCTTGTCTGTTAAATCGATTGTAATAGTATCTTGTTAAAGCCGTCAAGCCCATGTGACTTTGAATCAAATATATATGGTTAAAAGCAACATCCTTTGTCCTGTAAGTTAGTTTCTTACTAATTCTCTTAAACTATCCCTATTTTGTCGCCAGTATCACTGTCCAAGATATTCAGCGAGTGTTGTGCCCATCTTTCCCTGATATTGCCAGACGTCCTCAGCTAACCTCGAGATCTAGTGCTTTCTCAAAATTTACGACAAATAAACAACCAAACTAAGTAAAAATTTACATACTAAACAGAAAATGTTGTTATTGGTTACAATACTCTATATTATTATTATTTGAATCATAGCGATTTCAATTCCTACAGGCATTTAAACAGTATACTTTTTGTCACATTCCAGCATCACAAATCGTTCTGTCGGAATTCGACCAAATAGATAATCCAAACTTTGAATGCGGCGTGCCGACAATAGAACCTGATTTACAAAAGGGCAGAATCGTCGGAGGAGCAGAAGCTGTTCCATACTCGTGGCCATACACACTAGGCCTCGCAGTTGTACAACTGCTAGGAGCCGGAAAAATAAATATAAAGCAGGTACCTTCTTTCCTAAAATTAGATAATTGAGGGGAGGTAAGACAAAAAATCCGAAGTTCCACTTTAAGTGTGTTCGTCACAGCCTTGATTGTAGAAATATTGCTGAAGAACAATTCATTCTTTGATGCAAATATGAATTCCGAGTAGCCTACATATCCTTTTTTACGACGTCGACTCTGTATAAACGAGTGTTTTCCATGCGAGGAATAACAAGCAGAAGCAGGCCCTTGACAAATTTAGAACCCCGGTCGATTTCCCTCTTTTATCCATGATGTATGTGGTACCTAGTAAGGTTTAGTCCACCTGTCCGTGCTTTAGTGGTTTCTTTTTCTGCTACTGTATAAATACTGTATATATACTGTATTGAGCCATCTGTTTTCATTTTTACTATCTCGACAAAATATTATCCTAGGGTTGAAGATTTACTTTTTTGTTTACAACATGCAAACATTTTAGAGTGGTAAAAATACTACAAAAATATAACATTTTAATCCTATTCGGGTCGTTCATTTAAATACGGTATTTTTTAGATGTGTGGAGCTACCCTCATCAGCCCACGACACGCGCTGACTGCTGCTCATTGTTTCCGAGCGGATCAGGAGGGAAGACAGTCTTACACCGTAATAGCTTCAATGCACAATTCGGAAGTACTCAAAAACATCGTTCCACGGGCGGTAGGTCTGATGGAAGTATTTTTGAATTGTACCTAACATACTACCTATCTTCATTATGAGGATCTACTATATTTACCGAGAAACAGTAATAGATGGAATTAGCACCATCGACAAACCAGGTCGTGATGTTGGAGCTTATTTTTGCCTTTATACAGTCGGTATCCAATTTTTCAGATCTATGAACCCTGAAGTGAGACACAAAAAAACTTTAGGAAGATTTTTTGATAGATCTGGGATCTGGGAATATATCAATTGATGATCATCTACAAATTTTATTATTTTCCAGGTTGTAGGCATTCATTTTCATCCAGAATCCACTGGTATGGACGCTTCCATACCATTTGTCAGATATGACTTTGCTGTACTAACTCTCTCCAAAGATGTTGTACCAAACGACAATATTAAATTCGCATGCTTGCCCGCAGTCAAAGCCATGCCACCAGAAGGTTTGTAACACTTTTTCTATGATCTAATGAGTCTTATAATGAGGTCGATTCATTGTTGGCATTAAAGCTGTCTCTGAATAAAAATTTTAAAAACCAGCTATATATATAATTTATGCCACGAAATGTTGCAATGATAAACTTTTTCGGACTAAGATTACTTTGTCAGATTTTAAATATATGTATATGTTTTGTTAACAAACACACGTCCACAATACAGGTACTGTGTGCTGGGCTGTCGGATGGGGTAAAACCATGGACACAGGAGCTGATGGTTTATTGAAGCAAGTTACAGCCGACATAGTATCAGAAGGAAGATGCAAGAGGGAGTTTAGTCCTGAAATATTTTTGGATTCTACGTTTTGTGCAGGAACGACACGAGGCCAGGACACATGTCAGGGCGACAGGTGGGTCACTAGATCGAAAAATTTTAATGGGGCGAAAAGGCATAAGTGAATTTGGCTATATTCCATGACAGTCTCTATAGACGAAAATGAGCAGAGAAGACTTCACCCGGTTCGAGGGTTGCATAACTTTGCATGGTGGAGGAGGCATCTGAATAGTTGAATGTGTGTTTTTTTTTGTATATATATATTTCTTATGCAAATATGCTTTAAAAAAGTCGTGAGTTCTTTCCTAAAACGAGAAATAACACCGTAGAAAACCCGTAAGTAGACCTCCTTAGGACCGGGGTGCTGGTAAATCTACTGATACCAAAGTTTAGAATTAAACAGTGTGATTGCCATGAAAAACCTAACGGCTGAGCGGACTAGAAATTTATAAAATGAAAATACTTTATCATAAAAATCTTGATGGAAGATCTGCAGCGAGTGATTGGGATTCTCAATAATCTAGAGGAGGGTGGTCCAAACCCAGGGCCGCAGGCCATCTGTGGCCCGCATCACTTTTGCTGATATAGATAAGAATTGGGGATCACCAAAAAAGTAGCATTTTAGTATAGTTTCTTGGTATGTCTGCAAGTTGTGTCAGTGCCAAAAGAATAATCTGAAACGGCATGTTATCGATGTTCGGGAGCGCTCCATGTATGAAAGCACCGTTTCTTCGTTGTAAAGAGTCTGAAACCTAATACAAGGGAAAGGTTGGGAGACGAAACGTTGGGTGCCAGTTAGAGACTTTCAACGACCACATAACTGTTGATATAAGAGGATTGATTGATAATAAATGATAATCATATGTCTAATGAGGCTCGGGAACAACACAAAATCAATATTGTCGCCAACCTTGGACTACCCTGATCTAGATTTTTCAGAAGACAAATTTTTGGTACAACGATACTGAGGCTAACACCTGTTGGAATAACTGTAATGATATTAAATTTTACAAATCGCAAGATAATGCAAATTTGCAGCGTGCCCTTTTTTTTAAAGTACCCTGTTGCCCAATTAGTCTCGTTTTCCCAGTGTCAATCCCCAGAAAGCTATTCAATATTTTCCCGAGCAAATAGTCCAATTTATCCTTTAAGTATAGATTTTATGAAGGTGAGTTCAATGAGTTCAACATGACAGCATTTTGGCCAAGTCCATTTTTTACCCGAGAGCTTCTTCGTCATATTACGATATACCAGAAGCAGTGTATAATTCCAAAACCTTAACTAAAACAAATGCAATAATTCTAACGTGACAGCAAACTGACTGAAAATAATTGTACACAATGTAGTGACACGGCTCAATTTACTTGTTTTCCAGCGGAGGCCCATTATATTGCAAAGAAGACGGCAAGTGGATTTTATACGGAGTCACGAGTTACGGAGTAGCAGAATGCGGAGAGGGGCCGATGGCCGGGTATGGCACAGTGTCTCACAACTTAAGTTGGATTTGCTGCTTTATGCCCTCCATACCAGGATGTTCCGGAATAAAATGTGCGAGCAATTCAGAAGCCTAATTAAACGTAGACGTTTTATGCTCACTTTTCAATATGCTACCATAAACAAAACAATGTTTCATATACTCTTTTGTAATTAAGATGTTGCATTTGTCCTTGAAAACATATTTGTCAATTTATTAAATGCATATTCAAAGCCTGTATTTTTCTAATATTTGCTATCAAACAACTAAATTACGCCAAGACATCTTTTAGTACAATACTGACTGATCAATGCGATACCCTACCATGTAGTAGATTCACCCAGTCAACTAACCTTGCATTGTTATCTGTACTTTCAGTCGAATTTACCTCCATGTGTTTGGGAGTAAAACCTATATCAACCAGAGACGATTGCCTTTGCGACTTTTAAACAAAAATCTTGCCCACTCATATTTTTGAAATAATGCTGGTATAGGAATATGCTATATTTTCACTGTCGAAACAGAAGGCTGCCGTGAGACAATGAAATGAGTTTTATGCCTATCATGTGTGATACTGAAACCATGATGTATCATTTTAGGAAGGCAAAACATGTAATTTCCCCCTATAGGATGCCCGTTCTCTTACATTTTGTGTCCTTATATAGACTTCATCTGCCTTCCTTCCAAACTCATGTTTATTGCAATTTGGTTAATCAATTTTTTTTGTAGAAATCAGTGAAAAATTATCTGAACGCAAAATACGAAAAATTGCACATGATACTGATAACATGGCAATATCACAAGTTCACAACCAGACAGAACTCCCTTCTCCACCAATCAAATCTCTTGGAACAGATGTGGATAATTACCATTATGATGGCCATATTATAACAATAGCGCTCGGTTTAATGTGCTGCCACTGTACCAACAAGTTTGCAGTGCAAACTTCACACAGTACTAGAGTATCGCATACTGAGCATATAACAATTCCCGTATTCGATAATAATCATCTGAAAGACAACCTTCCATGTCAACTAACCCTTGTTGATTCTGAAACAAATGTAAATTATGCTATTACATTGATCTATAGAAAAATATTCGAATATAGAAATATTTAGTATCACATTTTTAACATGGTGGGATATTGGAAGTTGACTTGAATATCCTCTTCATTAAATTATACCAAGCATCCTACGATAGAGATTTTATCCATTAACGATCATACCCGTCTTATTGCTACACTGTTGTTACAGACAAGAACTCCTCCAATAAATTCTGCAGAAATCCCTTCTTTTATTAATATTTGTTTGAAATCCGAGAGTCGAACATCATTGACAAAGTATGTTCCATGGCTTTCAAGCTGAATAAAATACACAAGTATTTACAATTCCATGGTGATAAGGAGAGTTGATTAAATAGTTATAAACACGCTTGTGACTACTCTAATTAAACCATGTAACACTCTAATTTATTAGTCATTATATACTTTGAAAAATATACCAACCTCATCAGGATGTAGTGATGTTAGGGTGGGAGTTATATTGACATTATCAGCATTCGCACGATCAACTATTTCTAAAAATAAAACAAAGCATATCCTCAGGTGACAATATACAATTTGGGAGTGGGAATTTGATATGTGAAATAGTCGTTCAAAATTGACTGTGACCATTCACATCGGAAGTATGGGATTAAATGAAAAAGTCGACATACAAATATAATGAGTGCAGATATAACCTTTATTATCATAATGTTCAAAGATTTTGTAAAAAATTGTAATGTGTGAAAATTCCTCTTTAAGATTTGTTATTGTTTTAGAGATTTTGATTTTATTCATTCAATTTTATTGAAGCTTTATTATAGATTTAAGTTCAATTTTTTTAAAACCGCAACAATGGATATTCTCCTGAGCACTTGCATGTGTATTTTTGTAGAAGTGTATAAAACAAATTGCAGCAATCAGAATTGAGCTGGCCGCTTAGATATACAGTCAGACAGGGTTAAAAGAAGCAGTTTGGGAAAAACTTCATTCAAAGTTAACAGTGTAGTTAGAAAGTCATTCTAAAATATATTAAACAACTGGGCACAGCATTGCCTTTATAGGGATCATGAATATCTTTTTCAATGGAAAATTTGAAGCAAATATTATGAGCTGAGTTTGCTTTAAAAGTGAGGAAAGCAGAAATATCATGAGTAAGCAAATGTTAGGCAGAACCTATGTAATACACTTGCGAAGAGTTGCAAACTGCTATAATTTGATTTCATCTACTCCGGTATACAATATTATTATTTTTATCCTCAATAAAAATCCAGCAAATATCCAAAAATTTCTTTGGTTGTCATTGGGGTTCGAAGTTATGACAATGTGTTTTGGTGTCATTTGTTCAAAAATCCTTGACAGGCTACGCTGTTCTGTGAATGATTCTATCCAAGAATGTAGTTTTAGAGAACATACCTTGGCAAATAGGTAGTTTTATAGAAACAGGCTTTTGCGAGAATGTAGAACATAACTTAGTGAGAATATGTTTGCAAAATTGTAGTATGAAGAGAAAATAATTTACAGAAAAGACTACAGAACATAATATTGGCTAAAGGTATACTCATTAGCAATTCTGACTTTCTATATTCTAGATACTATCTTGGGTACAAACTAAGTCTTTCAATTATGGTCATCTCAAATTAGATTGAAATAGTCAAATATTAAAGTAATAAAATAATTCATATGCATGGTGCACATATGCAAAGCTCATGGTGCCTGAGAACTTTCGTTCAATTTAATAATAGTCCAAGTTCAAACAAATACTTACTGTCAACTTGGTCTTGATCAACGTCCATTTTAAATATTTTTTCTTCTGAAAGTTCCTCGTCTTCATAATTATCATGTGAATACCTTCTAATACTCTGTTGTTCACCTTGAGATTCCTTAATCTGAATAATTGTTTTTTTATTGACAACAAATATAATAAGGTCAAAAATTTGCTGAAGCAGAGTAGATTAAGACACATAAGGAAGTAGAAACATAGGTATACCTGCAATGCTGAAAGTACTTCCATAGAATTCATAGCTGCTTCCATGAAATCGAGTTTTGCATTCAACCAACATACTTCAGCATCTTTAGTTTTGAAGAATCTCAACGTGTTTACGAGTGAGTCTTTCAATTTAACCTGTAGGAGATATAAATGTAAAATAACAAATAATTAAGTACGGAAGAATAAATATTTCACATATTCAAACTAATTTTCAATGATGAAAATTGTTAATTTCCATAAACTCATCACTTTCAATGTTCTTGGAAATATCAAATTCAAAAATCAAACTATTAGGATTGAATTTGGAACTTAACAGCTCAGTCCTTCCCCTGCAACAGGCAACACTTGTCTTTTAGCACACAAGGTTACTTATTGTATGGTATACTATCAGTAATTGCCATCGATAAATAATCATCAAAACTACCAGATGTCCATGAAAATGTTTGATGTTTTAGCACGTAGAACATGATCATGTCACTGTAGGTTCATGGAATATTTCGAAATGATATATATACTGGTAGTTGAATCAACTAGGCTACATATAAATAAAAATATTCAAAATGACCTGGTAAATGTGACGTTCTTTTGTTGTGTCTACTACTTCATCTACAGCAGGTGTAAAAACTTGGACAGCATCAGGGGAGGGTGCTAAAGGTGCTAAACCAGGAGCAGATATATCACCACCGAGTGTTCTCCGTATAGTTTCAGCTAATCTGGTAGTATTTGAAGGGGTTCCTCTCACTAAAATTACCTAAATTCAATTTTTAAACTGTGACAAACATAAGGTGACATGAAATTCGTCCATTTGCTCATAGCTGAATACAAGACAATGGTAGCCAATGTGTGTGTATGACAACATACTGGCTTTGGTAACAGTACATCTCATAAAAACAAAACAAAATTTGCGCAATGATTGTCTTGGTGAAAAATACAATTTTTTTACTTCTCTAGGTTTTATTTGTTGTATTATCTTCAACATTGATTCTCCATCTGATCGTCCTTCAAAATCAATATAGGTGACACTGCATTTAACTTCCAAAGTACGAACTTCACAAATACATTTTGTTGGCACTTCGGTATCTTCTGAAAACAGAAACAAAGTTTTAATTAATTTGCATGTAATTGACTGAACTGATATGATATAAAACATCACTGGATGAGTATTACAGTATTTAGTCATGTGTGGCAGCTTCGTAAACAATATAATAAATAATGCTTCCTCCACCATGAAGTCCATGCTTCCGAAATAAAAGATCTAATCCAACACCTGACGTGGAATGGTAACCGGACGAGAGGCCGTGGTTTGCCATATGATTAATAAGGCGTCTCGTCAGCTTTCCTCACCCCCCAGAAAAATATGTAAATCCTTACTAATATGAAGGTCAGGCAATTTATATCAATATATTTCACACTAATATAAAAGTAACTTGAAATGCTTAACAAGCAGTTCTGGGGTTGTATGAACGTGTCACAAGCTGTGTGTATGGGGTACAAATGTGTGTATGGGGTAGCATCAGGTACCACTGAAAACCCCTAAGTGGAACTTTTGAGCTTCGTACCATGACATTATCATAATGAGGATTCCAGCAATCCTCTCGCACATACCCATCCCTGTGGATCCCTGGGATTCGATCCTGCGAACCGACGCAGGGTAATCAGAGGTGCATGCGGTGGCGAGCGTACTCCTAACGCCTAGATCAGTGGTTCCCAAACTTTTTGAAAAAAAATTCCATGACGGACCCCTTGCAATTTTTTTAATGATTCCCGCCTTGTGCATTAAAACAAAACATTAAAAGATAACAACAAAAATCAATGCACCGTATAGTGAAGCAAACAAAAGAATATAAGACTCAACTCTTATAACATGTATGACATCCACTCTGTTTCGATATTTGGTAAACATGCAAAATGGCACCGCCAGCTACAGCTCTGCAGTTAGTAAACCTGTGGTGGCAGGAATTGAACTCTCTCTGTGATATCACAGGCACACAGCTCTGTGACGTCACAATGGGAAGCGTGATTGAAGTGAAGAATCAGTGTCTCCAGCGTTGATTGCAAAGCAGCAAATGGCGACGAATGTGTATTTGCAAATTTGGGCACTTAATTTTGGTATTATCAAGCTGTTAGCCATATTACGGATTTGTTTCGCGGACCCTTCGAAATTGCTTCACGGACCCCAAAAGGTCCGCGGACCCTAGTTTGGGAACCACTGGCCTAGATAATGCCTTATTGAAGTATGTTAGGAATTTTTTTATCATTACCAAAATGTATCTGGCCTAAATAAAAAATGGTAAAAAAGTGCTTTAATAAAAATGAAATTTCATTTGAAGATTCTGTGCAACTAAGATACATTCCAGTAAGGGCATATATAATGAATGGGATGTCCAAATACCGTCTTCAAGAATTTCCTCCTTAGTTTCCTTCTCTTGAGTTTTATCAACTTCATGTGATTCGTCTTCATTTCCTGTCATTTCTAATGTTTTAAAATCATCAGGACTGAAAACATATAAATTGGTGCTATTATTTGGTACTAAACCTCAACATCATATTTTTCTGAATATGTCGAAAATCAAACTTCCTATAAGAAAAGCTTCCTACTATAGTACAGTGGTCCCCAACCTTTTATTGCTCGTGGCCCCCTTCCGGAGTCTTATTACATTCATTCCCCTGTTTATCATTCCAATAGTATTTATAGTGTTATATAGATTTCACAAATCATATTATGTTAAACAATTCATGCCCATTAAAGTCAATAGACCTTGTGAAATAACCTTATTTAGTGATGAAACAAGGAAGAATGGCGAGTTTTATTGTCAAGGGCAGGGTAATTTCAGATTTGCGCCTAGCATTGTGGCCCCACCAGGGTCTCAGTGGCCCACTTGGGCAGCCAAGGGCCCCGGCAGAGAACCTCTGCTAAGGTAGTTCATAACATAATGGTTCTCCATCCCTGCTATATATCATGTGGCCAACAAATAAATTATGTAGTAACAATTTGAGGGGAACAAAGTATTCTGATATGAATGTCCTCCTGATCATCTTTCACTATTAATTCTAATGATAATATACATGAAGCTTACTTTATTACTTCACCATATTCATCCCACTTGATTCTATTCTCAACATAGGGATACATTGGAAATGTTTTCTTGGCTTGTTTGAAAAATCCACCACTTTTTTTAGATGACTGAAAAAGTATTAAATATATTTGATTATTTTATACTGAGCAGGAGAGAACTGTAGAATCAACTTAAAAACATTACGAATACTTCTTCTATACTTCGAAGAACAAGATCATGAATTTCAAATTTTACAAAATTTATCATATCCCACTGAGAACACATACAGCATATTGTATGTATTTCAAACATTAGAATGAATTACAAAGCAATAAGCTGGTCATCTTCCCTTGTTCCCCAGTACTGTACACACTTTTCAGTTCTATTATATTTTGTCACATAGCGGCAAGACTGAAGATAATTTGAGGAAAAAAACACAAAATAATACTTGTTTCCAGTTACATGGCACAAATCACATATATCTTGTGTTGGTTTAATTAAGCTCAAATTCGTAAATATGGAAAATTACTTCGGACTTACATCAGCAGATATGAGTAAATCATGTTTAACAGCAGATCCCTTGGTTTCTTCAACATCACTCTCATCACTTGATTCGTCTTGCAACCTAATATTTCAACATTTTATTCACTGAAGGCATGAAATAAAAAACTTACACCTCAAGAAATATTGTTAAAACAACAGCAAAGCAAAGTTGAGTGGGGGGCATCACCTTGTTCTCATACTGAGACTTGGACAAGTTACTTGGTTCATGCATTGATTTAAAATTATATTCACGAAAAATTGCATAAAATGATTTTGCATCTTGAGCATATCTCCAGTATATCATTACATTATATAAAGACAATCCATGAAAATGACACTAAGAGGAGAAAACGAACATACGAAAAGTCCAAAATTACACCTCTCGATCTCGCCTCATTTCCTGTCACGCATAACTCTCAATTCTCGACAAAGCTTTATCATACCTTCACATAGGTTGTTTGAAGCATACTATGCGAAGCACGTAGATCTTTTTAAACCAGTGTTATTATAATATATTTTTGTAAACAGCCTTAATATCAACCAGTGAACAAAACCAAAAACCGCCAAACCAACAAAAATGAAAAAATGGGATTCATATACGTTTTTCGTTCAATCGCCTTTCTAGCTGATCTTTTTTTTTCGTATTCATCCAATTCTTCACCAACAATAGGAACACGTTTACGAATCTAAAAATCACATTAATCAATAAATATCAGTATACCTATAGCAAACATAATATATATTGCACAATTAACTAGATATTTTTAAGATATTGAGTATAAATAGTTTGTAAAGCTTTCTAATAAGTCAACAACCATGTATTGATGATAGATTCCTCCCATACTACTGATAAATGGGTACTCCTGAAGTATGTGCACCAAGATGTCCCATAACCTGAACCCTAACCTGGTACACAACCCGAGTTCAGGTTGTGCGCCATCTTGGTGCGCATACTTCAGGAGGTCCGATAAATGTCCATACTTGATTTGAGAAAATATAACAAAAAATGCAATTATTACTGCCAAGTGTCAGATATACATCAACCTGGTATAGGTGGCCTGATATTACAATTTTTACATCTGACATTGTTTATTTGAATGGAGATTGGAGGGCCCCTATTTTATGTTATACCCTGCATTAGATTCACAGTAATAGATTTAGAATGGTTTAATATGTTATCATGTTTCTAACCATATACCCTACCTATCTGCCGCTGTGAACATGCAATGCTTTTGAAAGATCATTGAATAGAATTGAAATACAACTGATTTGTCGTTCTATAGTGTTTCACCGACCTCTAAATTTAAAGAAGACACAGTTGGATCATCAATCAGTGTTCTGGCAAGAGTTCCTTTTGCTGTTCTCCCAGTGACAATGACTGAATTGCGTGGATCAGAACACCATCGAATAAAAAGTTGACGTGAAAATCCGCTTTCCATATCCGTGGTGCTTGCCAAAACACACTGCAAAATCAAAGGATAAATTATGAATAATTTAATGATTGCATTCTGAATATGAAATATTCTTGGATGTTGTCCGCTTTCTGTCAACTCTTGACTGGGATCGGCTGCATTGATTTGCAGCTTGTGAAATGTTTTTTTAATTCTCATGCGTGTTGACACTTTTGTAAAATGGCTAGGCTAGCGCTAGGACGTCAGTTTCCCAATATTTATCAACAAAATAAAACATAATATATTTGACTTTTTACTCTGTCCCTTCTCCTGACAACATTCTGGCAAGGTCTATAGAAAGAATGTGACGAATGTTGCTTGAGCATACAAAAAAATTGCGCTCAAGGTGAATTTAAAAAAGGTCTCTTATTATAGGTAACGCAATTGTCATCACGGCAATTTGCTAATCTTGGTGGGAAACAGCAGGATACAAATTTTCGTGGACGATGGCACATGCAGACAAAGAATAAATGATAGTTAGTTAAGTAAATAATCAACATGTGCTCTAATATACGTTTTTAAGTTTAATTATAATTTCAGTCACGAATTTCAAAATTACAAGTTAGTTTTTGCGAAGATGTGTTTAGGCCCGGGTCTCCACGTATACGTCCGGTATTTCCACGCAATATCATTATTATACACGATAGATAAGCATAGAAATTTCCTGTTCAATTTGAGACATATTAAAATTATCTGATGCAAATTAAAATAGGGAGTGATAGTCATATAGTTGATCAAATTTGGTTTGATTATTAGCCATTTCCTGACGTGGGTTTCAGACTAATAGGACATGTGGCTCGCCATAGAGAAACGGCCCTCATGCGGTATATACTATATATTATTTGAGCGAATGTTTGCTTAGCATAGAATCAACGAAAAACAAATGATTGATGGATGGAATTCGTTATTATTAGAAAGAAAACAAGAATGTAAAATCCACGATAATGTACATGTACATACAATTTTTAGAGGTAATAACATAAATTTTTGATACCGCGAATTTTTTTACCTTCGGATGTGGAACTTGTGCCAGATCTCCCAAATTATGACACAGTTTCAGATGCTTAAACTGGAATGGGCTGTTACGTTGATCCGTGAAGGAGTTGATAATTTTTTCGCTCATCCATTCCATCTAAACAAATATAAGAAAATACAATATTAAATGAATTTGGCTATGCGGAAAAGTCACCTTAAGACTGACTAGTTTTGTGCAATTAAATTAGGAGATAAGCACCTGTGAGATGCTACACAAAGTGGCTCTGGCTATGGCGTTGCTCTTAGAAACAAACAGTTTGAACTTTGACTCGTTGGATTTTTTCCGTTGCGCAACTTGCGTCAACAGAAATCCACTTCCATCCACGAGTCGCCATGGCTATTCTCGGTAGCTCTCAATAATTCGGTAGTTCGCGTATGTTTACGCCGAACTGATTATCACCACTTGATTGAATGAGATACCAGCTATAACGATAGTCATGTAGAAGATTCCATAGAACTGGAGGATATAATTACACAAGTTTGGCCAAAGTCAAGTTTTGATACTTGAACAAAAATTGGGAAATATTACTGATAGAAGAGTTCCACTCGTGTGTCAAATATGATAAGCCAAGCTATAGCTATCACATTCACCAACACAAAAGTAATAAAACGAAGACCCTAATCCAAAGTAGGGCTTTTCACAACAATATTAAATAGAGTACAGGCAAACGATTTAACTCGAAAGAAAGTGCTAACGTCCAGTACTGTCTATTACATATTCTTTGGTAGTTTCATAATATCGTATCATAGCGATATGCGTGTCGGAAAATTTAAAAAAGCACCAATTAAAATTTGAATATTCGAATAAATGAAATTTTATTGTACAAAATTTTGCTGTTTTGAATACTCTATTTATGTCCAATGAAGAAACAGTATATAAACTAAACACACATACCATCACATAGGATAATGTCAAGTATTTGGCAGCTTGAAATGTCGCATTCGAACTTGAACCAAGGGAATTCATGAACTTTATTTACTGAAAATGAGCCCAATTTTTTTTGTTTTCTCAAATAAATCAAATTTTGGAGTTTATTCAGACTATCATTTTGGTTTTTGATGCATATATATACTAAATGAAATGTATCGCTACACAATGCCGGTTGAACTTCGCTAAAATGTCAGCCAATCCAAGAGTACTCTTAATCTACTTGCTAATATATTAAATTTCAAATCGACAACGTGAAAAGTCGGCATGAGTGAAGTGTCCTTAAGACGAGAGTGTATTTAAAATCAACGGCATTTAATAATCTGTATGATCCGTACACGCATGGCCTAAGAAAACATTGGGTATTTAAAGCTTTTTACTTCGAATTGATTTTGTTGTTGACATTTGAAAATCATCTGCAGCACAAACAACGAATGCGACATTGGGAAGGGAATGCGTTTATTTGAAAACTATTTTGATAATTTGTCTCGAGAGCGTAATAAGGAGACAATCAGAAATGGAAGGATGATTAATAATTTTGGAAGAAAGTTGTTACTTCGGGAAATATGTTGGGTCGTTCACAAGCATTTAGCATTAGTAATTACAAAATAAAAAGAAATGCACTCGCAACGGCACCAAAAATGAGTTTGGACTATTATGAGATTTACCAACTGTTCGATAGGCAAAACGAATTTGCAATTACAAAGCAGCTAACGTTGAGCACTGTTCGTCAGTCCTGTTGTATGTGCAGGAATTTTGAAAAAGTAATCTATATCAAAGGTAAACTCGCATATATGAAAAGGTATTATTTGTGAATTGATGAAAAAAAGTGCAAGCGCATTCTCATATTAATTTTTATTTGGCGTAGCGGGGGTTTTCCGTAATCTATATACCACATGACGAAAATAAGGTTTAAAATTTGATACAGTTCGTTAGCCAGTTACCATTCCACTAGGACTAGAACCACCGCTGTAACATTTGACTGCGCTTTAGCAGAAGGTTATAAATATTTCATATTTTAAAAGTTCACGAGGACGCAGGGGGGTATGACAACCTGAGATGTGCGACAGAAAGTTAGACTTTAGAAACTATTTTCCAAACTTTTTGGATAATAATAAACCTAAAACGTTCAACCATGAGCGCAATGCGGGAGAATTCATAGAGAAGGAAATTATATATATATCGCAATCGGGATGGTACGTATATTGGGCTCGTGATGTTATTGTTTTCGTCAATGATAACTAGTGCAGTGATGTAACATTTCGACTTCACTGTAGCATAGGGAAAATATGAATATTTCATATTCAAGAGCAGGAAACATTGAGGGTGAATGTGACAAGTTTGCAATAGGATGCCTTTACGTATTGGACAACAGCCAAGATTATCATAATTTTAATAAAGCCTTTGTTGAATTATATAAAAAAAAAACGATGGAAGAATTTTAGCGATTGTCAGCATAGATCAGTTGTAATTCACAAAACGGTGAGTTGTATCGGGCTTTCGGGTGCACTGAAAGATCAGGAATTTTTTCATATATGTATTGTTTTTATGATGAAAGTATGACATAATCCCTCCCTAAACAAGTTTTTTTGTGTTCAAGTAATATTGTAAGCAAAATATTTAATGTATTCATGATGAAATAATGATATTACCAAGTCGGTTAGTAGAACAATATTTTCACAACAAAATATTTTCACATCTAAATGCATTAAACATACGACACACATTCGCGCTGACACATAGATACGTCGTACTCTCAAAGGGATTCAACTCATAACGCGGATGTAACTAAACTCAATTATGTTCCAAACTAATTAAGTTTAAACAAACAAATCAAACCCCATGAATCATGACGGAAGTTGATAGAAATCTAAGTGCTTAGAAATCTAAGTTCGTATAATTGGAATCAGTTGAAAATAAATGATATGTATCTATCAGGATCATAACCATCCCTACAACACAAAGTGTTGTGAAATTTATTAGATAAAATGCTTTCTCTGCAACGTTGCGAATTAGCATGCTAAAGGAAACACGCAAGAACGCACTTTATGTAATAAGGAAGGTCTATTTCCGTTATCAACATATTCATGTAAGCAGAATGGTGATCGATGGAAAGGACTGAAACGAATATTTCATACTTTTAAAGACGTGATTTGCAAGGGTAATGAGTTCAAATTCCACAATTTACATTGATATAATATCCCAAACTTGACCCCAATATTTCATAACTTAATTACTTCAAAGGAAATAACATGCTGTTTAAATACAAAGCGGCAATATAATGTCAATTTATCGCGAGTGATAGATTACAATTCCAGTAGTTATCACATTAGTGTGTTAAGTCACCATTATCTGCTTTATCGCAACAGCTAATGCTTTAAATTGAATACTTGAACACGGTAAAGACTTGTTACAATCGAAATCCATAAAAATTTTATTTTTTTTCATCAAGCGCATTATTTTGCAACCCAACGAGCTGATGAAGTTGTAAATAAAATATGATTTTCGGTTAGGTTTTTATTCGCGATCTCAGCACTAACTTTTAAGTTTATTGATAGTTGATACTGTAAATATATATGAGCGTTTGACTTTTTAACAGCTCATGGAAAGATATATTATTTTCTCAACACATCTCAAATTTCGGCGGGATCGGTTTAGTAGTAAAACAGATTCTGAACTTTTATTCCAGTAATCTCAAATGAGATGTTTTACGACCCTGGTAATTAATTACAAACTGAATGTCACAATTATTTTTAGTAAGAACCAGAAAAAGGGATATCAAGAACATCTGAGGTATTTGTGAAAAAAACAACAATCGGGAACCGTGATAAGTGGACTTTTAGTATCATGTTTTCAAGTGTACGGAAAGATAAAATCGAATATGCACTGACAAAGTACGGCTATTCCATTGTCACGAGAAATATTCTGTACCGTCTTAGTGGTCAATTCAGATTTCCGTTAATTGGTTTCCCGTTGTCTGAAAGAAAGATCCGGAATCAGCCGCAACACTCTCTGTTATCGGCGTATAATTTATGCAAATCAGGCAATATAGGGCAACAAACGACGTGGGAATACGTTAAATATTCATTAGCAAAGTAATGTCTTTGTTTCGCCTTATGTCAGCCATTAAACAGACGGAGCGCGGCCCATTCGTTAGCCGTTAGATGATACTAGCCCGAGTATACATTTTATGTAGTGGCTTTGCTTGTTCCTCGTCTCATTCATGGCATGCTCGAGACATGGAAGTGGTACATTGACGGAATGAACTATTTTGATCTAAAGAATATGACGTAATTCATAAACTGATCTAGAGAGTGAGTAACACTGTCATGGATCACAGAACATCGTGTGGCAGTGGTTTCACATAATTAAAGTGTATTAGAACGGGAATATTTGGGTTTTCTGTTGGTAAGTTTAGTACCGCTTTGTAAAATAGTAGTGTCGGAAGTGTTCAGCGATGATACACAGACTATACCATCATGGTTTTTACAGGATAGGATTATTTCAAAGATGCAGCTGATATTAAAATAAATTTTGAGATTAACTTCACCGGAAAGGCTGTTATTTTCGTGCATACATTCCGAGTAGAAACCAGCAAATATAATTATGCTAGAGGCAATTTAGACGAGATTCCACTTAATAGAACCGTTATTTCCCTTGAAGTAGCTGTATATTGATACATTCGAATATTTTAAACTTTAACCGACAACAATCGCCGTTATCATTTGTGCTGAATAAGATAATCAAAGAATTAAACACGGTATTTTTGGAAATCCAATCAGACGCATTTAATTAAGACTGCTTCTGGAATGTGTAAAAGTTGCATCTACCGTTTGAGCTATTCTCGACTGACAACAATTTCATTATTAATATGTTCCAAAGTTGTTTTTCTCCACTTCATTAATATAGCTGATTCACCATCGTTCGAACGAGAGCAACAGTACGATCGATAAATCAACGTTGAATATTTGAAGCGAAAGTCGAGTTGGTCGATGCCAGTTTTAGAGATCAATGAATATTGCTTTCTGACAATTCACTTTGCGAGATACAAGAGAAGGTTACTTTATGTTGAGAGTTAGGAATTTGTATAGTTAGTACAGGTCTTGATACCGGTTATGTTTATTGCCAAGTCGTATATAGTGTTCGGATCTAACAGTTGAACTCTTAGA